GTGGTTTCTTGATGTTCATATGAAACAGTTCAGTGTTTTGGTGTTAAAACCATGTTCTGTCAACCTTTTTTCGGTGCCTTTACCTTTAAATGGTGGTCAGTCGTAACCATGGCAACAGTTGATATAACGTAAACCATTTTGGTAGTTACAGTGAACCAGCATGTCACCGGACAGCAAACTGCAGTCCAACGGTACACTGCAGTGATCATCAACTGGTGGCCCGTGGGCCGAATCCAGCCCGCCGAACTGTCCAATCCGGCCCAAAACTAGATTTGAAAATATCCCGTGGTCCAGAATGTGAAAGACACACACACGATTCTAATTGTTTTTTTTAAACAATTACTTGACAAGAATCCAACAACGAACTGTAATCTGCGATTTTTTTTCATTTACACGACAGATTTAAGAAAAAAGGCTAAATATAAATAAGCTATAAAATAAATTGATTCGTGTTTTTTTTTTAAGCTAGTCTTTATGGTTTAGTTAGTGACGTAGCAGCGTCCAGGTGGCACCAGTGTAGATGCTGCCCTCTTTTGGCTCTAGATGGTATGCATATTTTTTTTAATTATTATTATTTAAGTTATTCGGGATGTTGGTCGCAGAACCAGGTTAACTACAAACAAAAGTGTGACATAGAATTTAAAAAAATAAATCCATCAAGTGGGCCGAATTGAAACCCCGAGCGGGCCAATTTTGGCCTGCGGGCCATATGTTTGACTAACAAGAGTTAGTAGTAGTTTATAACAAGTAGCTTTTTTATACATGATGATTCTACTGCCTCCAGTGTTTACATACAGTAATTAAGCCAATCAGCTTCATTCTCCGTTCTGACCAGACTGGTCCTTTGGTGGACGCTCCTTTCATACCCAGCTATTTGCAGCTTTCTTGTCGTCAGGTTTGTGTGTAGTTTTAACAGATAGAACTGTGGTCGTCTGTGTAAAGACAAAAAAAAAAAAATTTTCCCTTGCCTCAGACGGACAACTTAACTGCACAGGTCACCGAGTGTAGTATGTTTCCCTCCACTGAGGTTTGTGTTTTGACCCGGCCGTGCCCGGTTCCTGTAGATGCTGAGGCCACGGCGTGTGATCTCATCCGTCTTTCCCTGGTAGTAATAGTGGAAGGCCATTAAAGATTGGACCTCTGTCTCCCATCATTACCCAGTCTGTCTGTGGTGGAAAACAGTCCCCTGTGGCTGCATGACTGGACACAGTGTCTGACGTTGGAAACTGTGCCACAGAGTCAGGACCTCTTAGTGGCTCTCATTGTTGTTAAAAAAAAAATCCTCCTTTCACGGGTCACTGCTAGAGTAGCTACATCATTACTTTTAATAGTTGTGAAATTGGCTTTAATAGCAATCCCTTAAGTGGCCACAGGGCGCAACAGGACGGCCGTTTATACCACAGTTACAGAGAGGTTTCCTAGACAAACAGAAGGACTGGCTTCAAATACGAACAAGAGACGGTCAAGAGGGTGTTCTTTAAATATGTTCTGTCTCTGTATACAGTATCATGGGTATCCAAAGTGGGGGGCGCAGACTTATTGCAGGAGGTACTAAAGGTCAAAGGAACGTAATTTCTATATGTTGTTATTGTGGCACAGGAAAAAAAGAATTCTCCGATTATTAATTTTATTTTCTTGTTTTGCTGAGAACATCCTATATTGTGTCGACAAGAGCGCTATCCAACAAAGGGGGGCGCTGTTTGGGAACCACTGCTGTATGTGTATTAGAATAATTCACATATAAGTCACATATAAAAACAGGTGAGAAACACTGACCTCTACCTGCTGATATGTGTCTTTCTGTTCCAGTAATAAAGATAAAAATATATACTGTATATATTTTTGCATTTAGGAATGTTGATTTATGTAAATTAATCATGATTATTCGTAGCTGCTAGCAAACGATTAATCGTGATTAATCAGTTGCTGCCTCGTTAACAACATTGCGATTAAACAGCCCTAATACTTTACATATTGTGACTACGTATCTACGTAAGCGCTCACGATATATCGCTAGCATGCAGCGGTAACATTTGAAATCAAAATGTTTCTGCTCAAATGTTTTTGTGCCGCTGCAGTTCAAAGGCTGTTTATCAGGAGAACTCTTCTGCCTTTCTGAGTGCAGTCAGAAAATGTTTTATCATTCCAAGACGATGTTTCAGACCAGACCTTTAGTGTTTTTTTATTATTCTTTACAGCTGCTACGTTTTTGTGGGCTCTCTCCTCGCGGCCTTTGCTGTCTGGACCACATTTGGAAGAGAGCCGCCTCTAAATTGTAGACTTACTCTTTAAACACTGTTTTAATGGGACTTTTTGAGTTGGGGGATTTCTGCAGAGGAAACCTGGTTTGTCCAAACAGGAAATTTCGGTCATCATGTTTGTGTGATGGCCTATTTCTGTTTTTTATTTCAAAGACTTCAGGATCGCTCCATCCTCCTTTTTTTTTAAATTTTTTTTTTTCGCAGAATCATGACGGTGAGGCTGTGCTTTTAATGTCCCGGCCTCGTGTTTCCTGTCTGATTTATTAAGACGTTCAATAAATAAAAGATGTCGTAGAGTGAGTTTTACCCAAGTGCAGGTGCAGCCGCTCCGCATGCGAACAGGCGAGAGCCGGGCTCAGATCTAAAAGTGGCGACGCGGTGAAGCGAGACAGCGCCCAGACCTGTTAATGCTCTTGTTGTTTTGCAGAACAATTTGGCTATGCTGTCATAAGCAAGTAAAGGTATTTACTGCAGCCATTAATGACTTACAGATTGGAGGAATGTGCCCGTGTGTGTGTGTGTATAGTGAGCCTCACATTTGGGGAGGAAGTGAGGAAGGTTCGGCTGGAACGCGCTCAGTCACGACTGTTTCCTCCGAGCTCGTGTGAGTCGTCTCATTTGGCAGCGTGCAGAAAAAACCCGCACATCTGCTGAGCTCACGTGCGCTAACGGAAGAGTGAGCGTCACACCTCCGCGCAGTTCACAGAAAATCTGTGGCGTTGAATCATCAGAAGACCCTGTGACAACAGAAGGCAATTCAATCTGTGTCATATTTGTTAAAAGCTAGTTTCCTTAATTGTAATACCTCATTGTAGACCACAGGTGTCAGACTCTGGGATAAAATTTAAATTTAAATTTAAAAAGCAAAGTCTAAATTGTGGGCTAACAAATCAGAAGAAAAATATAATGTGAAAAGAAAAAGAAAAAACAAATTATTATTGTTATTATTTTACAATTTTTTTAAACCTTACAAATTGAAAAGTTTGAAGTAAATGCCAGATGTTTATGTTTCAGATGGTACCTGAACGCATCTTGTGAATCTGTGTAAACCTGGCAGTTTGTACCTGTTATACAATAATAATAATAATAATATTAAATAATAATAATAATAATTAAATAGTAAATACAAATTAGAAAATACATTCAAAAAGTTGATGTTTCTTTACATATTTTTTAGGGTTTGCAAAGAGGGTCAGGAGCCAGAAGATGATGCTGTTTGGAGGGAGGAGGTGTGGGGGGGTGGGGGGAGGTTTGGTCTGGAAAAGTATCTGAAAAGAATCTGTTTCATCGTCTGGTCCCAAAAGGTCCAGAAATGTTTTAAACATTAAGACCACACTGGGCCACATTCAGCACCGCACCCCGATATATCTGTTCTAGACTTTTATTCATTAATATGTCATCTTTTTCCTTCTCTCCTGCAGCCTGTGAGAAAAATGTGCAGAAAGTTTGTGCGAACTCATCGGAGCAAAACCTCCAACCATTTAAGGAGAAGATGGAGGGATTTATTACCTCAGGTGAGTCGAGCTAACGGCCGTCCTTTTTACTGCCTGAACCAAACGCATTTATCATAAGTAAAAACATGGAAACTTTGTTTTGGTGACGTAAAAGTGCTGGCTTTGCATCTTTTACATTATTTTTTTTTACACGGCAGGCATCGAATTGTTATGATTAATTTTGATTTTTTTGAGAGATATCATAACAACATTAACACTGGATTTTGTGGAAAAATGTCGAAAAGGTTTAGCCCAAAATGTAGCTTCTCAGATTTTAGTGATCACTGTGCATCTTGGTGGTGCTACGAAAACGTGTCGAGAATTGTGTTTGAGAGTTTGAGAACTTTTGAAAACGTTTGAAAATCTTAAACACGATCCATTTGACTGCTGTGTCAATCAGTCAGTCAAAGACTTACCGACTGTCCTGATCTCAGTCAGGCTGGTTGGACACAAGCTGGGCCGCTGACCTGAGGTTGAAGCCCAAACAAACACATGCGGGTTGTTGAGATGATATTTAAAGCTTGAGCTGCTGTGTGAAACCGAAACTCTTCCCCGCAGTGTGTGTAAATAACGACATGTGTTTCCACTGTGTAACAGAGCCGCAAAAAAATGAATGGACGGAGGAAGTATTTTGATATATTGAACCATTACTTGAGTTGGCTAAAAAGTTAATTACAAAATGAGTGGCATGTTCCTTGGTTAATTAATCAATACAATTATTAATCAATTAATTTATTATTCAATCATTTGATATTCAAGTATTCAATGTATTGAATAAATTAATTAATTAAGTACTGAATTTACCAACTAATTTATTAATTTTACTCTTTCACATGTTTTAGGTTTAATTTTTAGCCGTGTTTAAACGGCCAAAACAACAAACCAGTGTTTTAATGTTTAACGAGAACCTTACGACTTTTCTTTCTTACCGTCCTCTGAGAAAAGGGAAAAAAAACAACAAAAAAAAACATCTGTGTTCGACTACACGAAGACTGACTCTCAGATTTGTTTTATTAACTGATAACTCCACATTAATGAAGTGCAGAGTGTTACGTTAATGAACACCTAACGAGCTCGAACCTCCTCTTACACCAAGGACGGAAAAAATTTAACTTGGGTAATTATTATCAAGTCACAAAAAAAATAATTTAAAAGTCAACAAATTGAATGATTATTATTATTATTCAAAACACAAAAAATGTTATTGGTTGCTCAAAAACAATATGAACCTCAACTCATACATTGTCACCATATAAGCCATTGTTTCCCAAAGACTGGGTCGCGACCCTCAGGTGGGTCACAAGAGATTTTTTTTTGGGTCAACTTGCATCATGTTTCCCAGGAGTATTTGAATAATGTCTATTGACTTGGGTCGCGGAGGTTTGTGACTTTTAAAACATGGGTCCCCAGAAAAAAACAGTTTGGGAAACACTGATCTAAACTACTGTAGGACACTCACCCCTCCTCCCCCATTTTTTTTCCTATTTCTTCCGTCGTCTGAAGTTCAAAGTAGCAAAGTAAAAAAAAAAAAAAAAAAAAAAAGCTTATTCTGCTCCGTTCACTCGAAGGACAGTGAGACTCGACACTTGATGTTAACGATGGATGTTGGCCCCTCAGTTCTGCCTATCAGCGGACCCTCGCTCGTGTTAACTTGTCAAGTATATTGGTAGTTACTTCAAAGATGAAACGGTGAGATGGACAGCCGCAGAGAGAGTCATGAAACCGAGCCCGCAGAAGTAGAGAAATCCAATTTTCACACAGACAAACGCTGCATGGGACCTTTAAAAAACGAGGAAGGTATAATTATGTGTTTTTACTTTTTTTACGCTGTCAGCTGGGTGACACTGGCTCTGACTCTTTTTTTAGTGTTTGTTTTTATCTGTGTGTGTGTGTGTGTGTGTGTTCTTGCTGGGAGAGGGCGTCTCAGTGGGGTGTGAGACAGCGCGTGA